TCGATCGAGTCTTGTCGCAACCAAAGTAATAAGTTTTTTTTTTAAAATGAGGTGATTAATATTAACATTGTAAAATTCTTTTAAGAAATCATTTTGCAATGATAATTTTTCTGAAAAATATATAACCTATTTTAATATTTTTGATTTTTATAAAATTAGTTAGATTTGTATGTAGTTTTTGGAGGGAGAAACTAACCGATATCAATGGCTTCCATCCTAAGTCTAACATAAAGATCTTGACCAGCATTCTTGTATTTCCGGAGATCGAGTAGCTCTCCTACCCAAATAACACAACCTGATCCACCATTTTCCATATTTGCGTTCGCGTATGCTGTACAGTTGCAAGTCGCTAAGCACTTCTTCTTGCATTCCTTCAACCCAAGTTTCATGTCTACAATTGACACTACTGTATCTGGCAGCTTCATGGTCTGCAACTTCAAGAATTGATCACCATTGCACTTCGACTGTGTCTTCCGCACACACCCTTCTTCTGTATCTCTTAGCTCCCATGCTTCTTGGTGTTTCGCCTGAAACCCTTTGATGCAGTTACAAATTGGGGAGGTGTTTATGTCACAGAGACCATTAGGACCACACTTGTTGTACTCATAGCACGGATCATCTGGTAATAGATAACCTATCCACTTCAATTCCCCTGAAGTTGGGATCCATGTGGACCGGTTCAATACTCCGTTATGGTCCAATCTCAATATTGAGAAAAAGCTATCATTACTTATAGTAAATGAATAGCTGATTTCCTCATCCCTCACCGTAAGATCGTACGTTCCGTACCTCAATTTTCCATGTGTGTCTGCGTCACTCATACTATTCCAAGGACCACTCCGCACTGTTGGTTTGCCTTTTTTCCGTATGTAGCTCTCAGGAGGCTCACGGATTTCTACTTTGTAAGTGTAATCGCCAGTTGAAGGATCATTAATGCCTTTCCATGATTGTAATATCCTATTTAGACCAGAATTCTTATCCCAACCCACTTTCATATTAGGGAGTAATGTATCCGTCGGAAAGTCGAAACTTTGCCATAGAAATCCACTTGTCTCGTTTTCATTGGAGTATCGCAATACCAAGTTGCCGTTGTCAAGAAGCTCGGCGGTCAGGTCCGACTTCAGACTTTGGCCAGTCACTTGGGTTGACCAAACAGAGTTACTAGTATGATCAAAGAGGTGGAGGTTATTATTGAAGATTTTGAGTGTTCCGATAGGCTTGGAGAGTGGATTGTCTCTGTTGGCAACCCAAACAACTTCATTAGGCAGCTTTCGGTACCACATGCCAAGGTACCATCGGTCACCAACACTGGAACTTGGGGCCGGTTTGAAAAAACCAAGCTCAAGAATACTCTTTGGGGACGAGATCTTGTTTTGGATAGATATATCGAAGGCAGCTGACGATGAGATTCTTGAATTATACACGGAGAAACCTTTGTGAAATAAGACGAATAAAAATAATACGATCCTCATCTTTTTCTTTTTTTCTCTTTGTCTTCTTAATCAGTTTCGTTCTTTCTTGTTTGAACAACTGGATTCTTCTTAGAATTATATATTCTCTGGACAATAATTTATTCTTTTTCAACACTGCTTGACTTTTCCTACAAGCATGCGTCGTTAGGACAAAGTTAAATTTTCAACGGGACATAAATGAAACTAAAAACTACATACATGTGAGATTAATTTCTCCCACGGCAAACATTGCATATGTGGAACTAGTTGTCAATTTAAATCCTAATAAAGGTCCCCAAATCTATAGCACATCAACTGCTGGAGGATCGAGACTCGTTGATGAAGTCTATAAAACTGTTCATTTTCCATCATTTAAACTGTCGTCGAATTTGGGAATTTTTGGTGTTGAAGTTTTAGTTTAAATTGTCATGTTTTATTTGTTCCTAGTTTCTCTAGTGTTTTCAGTGTACCATAATTAAGTTTTTTTTTTGTTGTTTTTTTTTCTTCCCTATTAATAGGAGAGATGTAACGTCCGCGTCCCGCGATCCTAAAAGGGGCCGGTTTGTTTTAGGGAAAACTAGATCATGGTCGAGAAAGAGTAATGAATAAGTAAACCCAAGGAACGAAAGAAACGTTTAAGTCATGAAAGGGGTAGATGACTTAGACGGTTTCGGGATAATCTAGTGATCATGGAGAAATGATCATAGAAAGATTAGGAATGGCGAAGTCAAGGCCGAGAAACGGACCGAAAGACTTAGCCGGAAAGAACGGACAAAAGAGTCCGAGTTAATCCAGCTAGGTGAGCTGGACAAGCTGGACGAACTAGCTAGCTCAGCTAGGTGAGCTAAAGCAGCTGGAGGACTAGCTAGCTCAGCTAGGTGAGCTGACCGACAGCTCAACCGAGCTCGGTGAACTGATCGAGTACTGACCTAGCTAGGTGGTCCGGTCAGCTAACATTCGAGCTAGTGGACTGTGGTAGCTCGGGATGAAGAGGTGTAAGGTCGAGCAGTTACCGACGAACGGTTACCATTGGCCAAAGGGTGGATATGGCCGAACGGTTACGATCGGAAAGACGCAACCTTTCGGAAGGGTGCAACGAACGGAGGTGATGTTTCGGAAACACACCCATTCGGCCCCTATATAAGGGAGGACGCCCAAGACATCTCACAATCACCACCACAATCCAAAACAATTCCCAAAACACTCTACGAAGTGTTGGTCGGAAAGGGGGTGCGGCTCGGCGAGTATCTCTGGAATCGGAATGGATTCTCGGAGCCTCGACCGAACTGATGCGCATGCTACCTCCCGGTCCAACGGTTCTATAGAATGTATTGAGGGATGGATGGGATGGACTGATCGTCTTAGAGACGAATCGGATTGGACAAACCGATCGTCGGACGGATCAGATTGGATGACCGATCGTTCAGACGAATCAGATCGGACAGATCAATTGTCGGACGGATCGGATCGTACAGATCGGCGGGATAACCGACGGTACGTATCGGAGATCTTGTCGAGGGAACATGGCGGATTACATGATCGAGGATTCGATGGGAACCGCCGGAGGGTTCGATGACTTGATTAATGGTTCGGATCGATAGCTCGATTATGGGATCGATGGATCGTCTGTTCTTTAAATCAGATCGTCGAGGGAAGGACACGAGAAGGAACTAAATCGGCAAATCTCAGATTGTCGATATGGAAGTATTGACGAATCCAAAGATAGACCGATGGAATGATAGGGTTAACGGGAAGTTAATCGGAAAGGTATAGAAGGGAAAGGTGTTCGAGGAAGCACGAGGATAAGTGCAACCGAACACACCCAAGGGTCGCCCATAGAATCAATCTCACCGAGAAAGGGAGAAAGCACCGAGAATGGGTAAGGCGCGTGATTCTCCACGTAATGAACAAATATTGCGGCCGCCTTTATGAATTGAACGTCGCAGCCTTGGTGGATCCGATCGGAAATCGGTAAGACCTATGGTGACTCGACGGATAACCAACGGGAAAGTCCACGGTGAGAACCGATGGACAAAACGGATGTTGGACCCGCGAGCAAACCAATGGCCGATGGACGAATGATTTCATGGGCTAGCCTACGATAATCCGATGGATGAATCCACGGACCCTTGGGTGTGATAATGATATTGTTTGGATTGCATGGATGGATCGATAAACCGAAGGCTTTACCGACCACCATGGACCGGACGGGTAAACATTTAATAAACTGTAGGCGGTCGTAGTGATAAACGACCGGATCGGAAACATGGATGGTTTGATAAGCCGAGGGCTTGATCTTCCACCATGAAACCAAAGGGGCGTATGTTTGGAGGACGGATGGACCAATGAGCCGAGAGCTTGATTCGGCCACCGTGAACCAAGGGAAACGTACGATCCCCAATCTCTATCGTAGGGACTTAGACCAGTGGGGTTGGTTGGATGTATGGCTAAGTAACGATAGAGATTGGTCCATCAATACATGATTGGTTAAGAATCGTTGTACGAATGGAATAAGGCAACAAAAGGGCTAAAGGAAGGATCAATGGACGGATCGAAGAGGAATCGCATCCGCATGTTGGCCAAGGTATGCAAACGAATCTAACTTATTAGTTAAGCTAGACGTTTGGGAATTGGCCGTTGGATTAAGGATATAGGAATATGCAATCGTTAAACTTAGAATGGTTAGCGAACAAATTGCATGACTTGACCGAGTAAATGATTGATCTAAAGTCTAAGGGACAAAGACGATCAAACCCGTACAAGGGATGGTTGGAATTAGACTAAGGGTAGAAAGACTTCCGCTGGGTAATAAGAAAGCGATTATAGAAATAAGCCTCGTAAAGGTAATTCTATGTTAAATCGCGAAAAATATAGAGGTTCGGCCGGGAGGAGGTGCGAACGTGCGTCGATGGTCGCCGGACGCCGAGACGTCCGGGACGAGACGCTACAAGAGATAGGCTGAACCGAACCAAAAATTTCGGTTAACCGAATCTAGATTAAAATTATTCCAATCGGTTTTACTCAATTAACAAGAACAGAACCGATTTGTCCAAATCTCGGTTGGTTCGATTCGGACAAATCGGTTCGGTTCGAATTCCCAGGCCTACTCTAGTCCTTATTGTAAGAAGAGACCCAGCATATTAGCGGCACCTGGGAACTGCTTTAAAAGTAATGGTAACGCATTGTGCAAAGAGTCTTGCCGCAATGATAAGTATCCAAACGGCGCATGTCTACATCTACCGAAGCCATAGTCAAAACTCACATGCCACTGCTGGGTTAGGGATGATATATCTTGTTCTTACGCCTAATCCTTCCAAACCTCGCGTCAATATATTGATACTAAGGGGAATCTCATCAACTTACATGCCTCTTAATATCGATAATTATTGTTTTGTTTTTTAATGCATTGAATAATTCACTACAATAAAAAGGTGTTTTGCATCTCTTGTTTTGTATATTTGTATCGGTTATAGCATATGCAAATGAGTTTTACATTACTTAATATAAGTGAATCTGAAAGTGGCGATGCAATTCAATTATTTCTAAGTAGACTGACGAACGCTTGAAATTTACTTAGAAATTCATAGAAACGAAAAACCCCATGATTTGTTCGATGACATTGAAGTTCTCCGAAGAAGAGGATGCTCGTATTTTCTGGGTTTGAGAAGCTTTGGAGAAGAAGAGGCTAAGGGATGTTCTCCGAAGAAGAATGCTCGTGTTTTCACTAAGTCTTTAGTGGTTGGGCTTTAAACCCAGTAATAGCCCACCAAATTGAATCTGTCATAAAAATAGCCCACCAATTTGAATCTCCTTTGCGTTGGTTTATGCCGTCGGTTTAGTAACCGACTCTAAATCTCTTCTTTTTAAACAAGTTTACGTCATTTTCTAAAGTGTCGTTAATTAAGTAACTCTACATTATAGATTTCTTGTAGTGATTGTTTTGGTTCTTTTTGTGTTAATTTTCCAATCACGTTAATTTCACTTACACTGTTCCATTTCACATGCCAATTTTGAGTAATGGCTCACCCTTTTCCCATATGTAGCTCTCAGAAAGCTCACAGATTTCTGCTTTGTAAGTGTAATCACCAGTTGAAGAATCATTAATGCTTTTCCATGATTGTAATATCCTATTTAGACCCGACTCCTTATCCCAACCCACTTTCATATCAGGAAGAAATGTATCCATCGGAAAGTCGAAGCTTTGCCATAAAAATCCACTTGTCTCATTGTTACTGGAGTACCGCAATACTATGTTGCCGTGGTCAAGAAGCTCGGCGGTCAGTTCCGAGTTCAGACTTTTGCCAGTCACATTTGAAGATGCAGTTATTTTGGTGTTTTGTACTAGTCGTTGAAGTAGTACAGAAAGTAGTACAAGATGTGATTCAGGAAGATGAGATGCATAATTGCTAATGAGGAACTCGAGTAATTGGATGTTGGAGTGTTTGCCAAGTCCAGAAAAGGAAAATATCTTTGTTTGAAGACAAAAGGAATCATGTAAGCAAGTAGGAAGTTTGCTTGATGTGAAAAGGAAATTGGCAAAAAGGAAAACCTTTTCTTTATGGGATTTGGAAACTTTCTCTTATGTGTGATTGGAAGAACTTGAGGCGCAAGTTTCTGTTTGTTATATAAGGAGGACGTGACCTTATGAGAATGTGGATTGGCAAGAGTAAAAATCCCAAAGAGATTCGATGTGAGAGATTGTGTGTGTGATCGTGTGCGACGTAGGTTCGAGGGTTAAGTGCTTGTGTGATCAAGCTTATTTGTGTGTTGGTGTTGACGGTTCATGTTGGAGAATCTTGGTGATCGTTGGGTTCGTTGGGGTGACGGTTTGTGTGTGTTGGTTGTTCCAGAGACTTGGAGAATTGAAGTCTAGACTCAGGGGGAGTTTAGCTCAGGGTTAGGTTATCCTGATTAAATCTAGGCTCAGGAGAGTTTAGCTAAGGGTAGAGATTTATCCTTAAGATTTCATGTTAATAGAACAGAGCGGTGAATCAAGAGGGTTGTGCTTGATTTACGCGTTTGCGAATATGTTGTATTTGCTTTCTTGTTCTAGTGGAATCGAAATCTGGACATGGTCCCGGGGAGTAGGAAAAACAGAACCTCGTTAATAAATTTCTTGTCTCGTTTATTTTCCGCAATTTATTTGACCTCATCCGCACTTACAACATTGGTTGACCAAACAGAGTTACTAGTATGATCAATGAGGTGGAGGTTGTTATTGAAGATTTTGAGTGTTCCGATGGGCTTGGACACTGGATTTTCTATATTGGCAACTTAAACAACTTCATTAGATAACTTTTGGTACCACATGCCAAGGATACCATTGGTTACCGACACCGGAAGTTGGGGCCGGTTTGAAAAAACCAAGCTCAAAAATACTCTTTGGGGATGACATCTTGTGTTGGATAGATACATTGAAGGGCGTTGACGGTGAAATTTTAGAATTATACATGGAAAAACCTTTGTGAAATAAGACGAATAAAAATAATACGATCTTCACCTTTTTTTCTTTGTTTTTGTTTTCCTAGTCAGTTTCGTTCTATCTTGTTTGAACAACTGCATTCTTCTTAGTATTTGATATTCTTTGGACAAGAATTTGTTCTTATTCCCCATTGTTTGACTTTTACCACAAGTTGCGTTCAAGTTTAAATTTTCAACGGGACATAAATGAAACTAAAACTACGTACATGTGAGATTAATTTCTCCCACGGCAAACATTGCATATGTTTTTTAGGGAATTAGTTGTCAATTTAAACCCTAGTAAAGGTCCAAATCTATATCACATCAACGGCTGGAGGATCGAGACTCGTTGATGAAGTCCATAGACCATAAAACCGTTCATTTTCCATCATTTATACTATCGTCGATTTTGGGATTTAATTTTTGGTGTTGAGATTTTAGTTTAAATTGTCATGTTTTATTTGTTCTTAGTTTCTCTAGTGTTTTCAGTGTACCATAAATAAGTTTATCCTTTTCTATTTTAGTTTTTTTTTTTCTTCCCTATTAATAAAATGAATTTTTATTTATGTTATACTTATCTCTCCTATTCATTCTCCCCTCATTTTAAATAGGCATTATCTATGGATCACCTAATATTTGTTTTCTTAAAAAAGAAACCAAAATTCTTTATATTAGAACAATCAGATGATTATAAACATAAACTATTTCATCTAACTAAAGGAAGCAGGAAGATAAAGAAAAATGGCCAGGATTGCAAATGGTGTTGGAATCGTTGGTCTTTTAATAATTTTCATGTTGATTTGGGGAGGTAATTACATTATAATATGAATCTAATTAACCAAACTCTCTATTATTGTGTGTTTGTATTTATAAGTTGTGTGTTTATCGTGTATTTGTTTAAATAATTTAACAATCTTATATAAGCATCTTAAACAATTTTTTAAATGATGATAAACAAACACGAAAAAGTAATATATTCTACAAAAAAAAAACATTCAAAATTTTCATATTTAAAATATGTAAAACAAAAACACTTGTAAATGCAAGCGCAAATGCAAACCCAAATCATAACTGACTACTTTTCTATTTATTTTGTGAGTCATCAGGAATGCCAAAGGGACATGCTCAACAGTCTGGTGCTTATTGTGAGAAGACACCCAGCACGTTAGCGGCACCTGGGAACTGCTTTAAAAGTAATGGTAACGCATTGTGTAAAGAGTCTTGCCGCAATGAAAAGTATAAAAACGGCGCATGTCTACATCTACCGAAGCCACGGTCAAAACTCAAATGCTACTGCTGGTTTATGGCTGATGAATATAAATGTCCCAAACTTTCTTTGTAAGCCTAATACTTCAAAACCTTGCCGTGTTTCTTTTCTTTTAAGAACTTCGCTTAAATAAACTTTACTACGTTAAACCTCTAATCTCTTTACCAAAACAGAAGAAGGGATGAGTATAATATATATTCCGAATCTTATGTTTAAATCCAAACTACCTTTGTTTACGAGCAATTACAATAACTAATTGATTTTTACTACACAAAAGGTGTTATGTTTTGTTATTTGGACAGATTCAACGTTAAGAAAGTGTGATTTAGACAGCGTTTATACTTTATTCATTCGTGCTCGCTTAAATCAATAAAATCTCTACTCGCTATTGCAAAACGATCCCCATACACCACCACGTACAAATTCATATGCTTTTGTGATCATGTAAAATTATATTAAGTTGGATACCATATACAGAAGACGAATTCTAAACATATATTCAAATAGAAGTAAAACGCGTTATGGATTACTCAATGCAAAAAAAGTAAAAGTCTAAACTATGTAGAAGATATATTCTAAATTACATAAGGTAGAAGACGTATTCTAGATTAGATTTGTAGAAGACATACTCTACATTATTTAATCTAAAAGACGTACTATATATAAAGTAAGGTGGGGATGTGCCTTTAGTCAAGTGGTTAAGTCCACTTGACTCCGCCTTCCCCACCGGAGTTCGACTCCGCCTTCCCCACCCCGCGTAGTAGAGATTAACTATGAATCGGGCCTTGTCGATCCAAAGATGTCAAAAAATATATATATAAAGTAAAGTAAAAGACATATTCTCAGTTACCTAAGGTAAAAGATGTATTCTACATTGTGTTTGGTACCAAATTATATGTAAGAAAGTACATAAATCTCAAACTCAACCACAAATTATAAATATTTAGGAGTTAGAACAAACCCAACCAGTTTAAGAATTTTTTTAAAATATTTTTTTGAATCTAGATGAAAAGTGGTCGGATCAAGACACAAGACTGTGAGATATGAACTATCTTATACTATTATTTGGGAAGTACATCATAAGTTGTAACATTGAGAAATGTAACAAATTACATTAGTATATATGTCACTAGAGAACTGTAATCATAAACGAAATTAATTTCGTAAACAATATTAACAAGTGGAAGCCCCCTTGGGCCATTGGTTGATCAAAGGTTAATTAATGCTTCTACACCAAAAGGTCTGGGGTTCGAGTCCCAGATATTGCGATTTATTAATAAATTTGCAGATTAAAGGAGGCAAGTGTGCAGGAGATCTCCAACGAAGTACAATTATAGCCGTTCGCCAGGATTCTACGCAGAGAGAGAAGTGTCGTCAGGTCGTGGATCATTGAAGGTGTCTGTCAAGAGCATGGAGAAGGAAGTGTCGTCTGTCGTGGATCTAATAAGGGTCGGAAGGAATTGTCCGTTGTAGAATCGTCTATGTAACAGTTCTCATAATTTGCAATAAATAATAAATCTAGACGTTAAAAAAAAAACAATATTAACAACTAATTAGGTAAGTGAATATTGAAAGATTTCGTAAATAATAATATCAACTAATTAGGTAAGTGATTATTGAGATATATTTTGTAATCAATAAGAACAAATATTCAGTTAAATCTTAAGCTATGTAGCCATAAATCTTATTTTGTATTCATTACGATCTATTGACTTTGTATACCATTCCGTTGTAAACAAATGATCTTAGCATAGATCCGGTGTGGTCTTTCAATTCTATAATAATGGAAACAACAACCCTAGTCGCCATCTTTATATCGGGGTTACTTGTAAGTTTTACTGGGTATGCTCTATATACTGCCTTTGGGCAACCCTCTCAACAACTAAGAGATCCATTCGAGGAACAGGGGGACTAGTTGACGTAATCAGCCTCATCAGCCGATGAATTAGTCGTTGTTGTTCTTGTTTCTTTAGTACTTTTAGTGGTTCCTATACCTGTTATGTTCCTTGGATTATTAACAAGCGGGATTCAAGCTCTCATTTTTGCCACTTTAGTTGCGGCTTATATATGTGAGTCTATGGAAGGTCATCATTAACGGTTTTTTCAAATATTCTTTTTTAGGTTAGCCCAATTAAATTATGATATTTGAGAAATAATTAGGTCTGGCATATACAAGTTTTTTTCTTTGCAAAACAAGAGAGACAAATCTTTGGTTTCAAAAAAGTCAGACGAAAATACCCTTGAAATAAAATGCGGGAGTTTTCCCTCCGAGAATTTCGTAGGGGACAGGGATATCATGCAATATTCTGTGGGCCCCCACTTATTTAATGCTCGCAGAGATAGTGTGTTGCAACCATGATACGTATCATGATATATATGTGTTTATCCGATACATGCAAATCGCGGCGGACCCTACAGACGTATAAAGCTTGGCAATTCTCTCTGCCCCAAGTTGCTACAGAAGTAGCATTAAATGCAAAAATAATTATGGCAAGACAAAAAATCACAGCTACGAGATATCTTACCACGATATCTTTCCCCCATCCCATTATATGCTTTCGTGTCCAGATATATATGTTCGTATCACGTTATACGTTTCCAACAGAGAGAAACGCAACAGAAATCAATAAATGCAAAAGAGAAATTGTCGCTTTTAACAAATATCAAACGGCACATAAGCCGAGGGTTTCGTTTCGCAATTATGTCTGGGTGCAACTGCTAGACTCTACAAGCATAGGGGTATAATGGTCTTTTCAAGACAAACCAAACACACACATTATTTACGAACGTGCCACTGCTCCTTTGACTTAAATACTTCTCAGTCTTAGGGTATGCAGTGTAATTACTCTTAAATTATAGAATAGTTGGTTTACGTTATGTAAGAAACACTTGTATATGTGATATTTGATATTGCCTAGGTATATATGAATTAAAGATCTAAATAATCTGAATCTGAATCTGAATCTGCTCTACTACTTTTGTGAATTTCTATTTCTATTTAGATAGGGATTCGATTAGAAGTTCTTCCTTTTTATCTGTGAATTGGCTGAAAAAATGATTAAAAAAAAAGAACGAAGAATTCAAAAAAAGGTTCATAAAAAATAAATGGCATAAAAAGTCGTATATATATATATATATATTATGGATTTTCCCGAGTAACTGGAAAAGCCGCTAAAGTGGCTAAAGTGGCTAAAGTAGTAATAAATCCCGTCAGTAAAATCGTTCCTATAGAAAGTCCATCTATTCCCATTCTCCAGTAAAAATCAAAAAAATTGATCCATTTATAATCTTCGGACAGTTGAATTAACGGATCGTCCATTTTAAAATTATAACAAAAAGCGTAGGTCTTTAGAAAAAGTTCTAAAATACAAATGCATTTTGTTATAATTTTAAATGGATCAATTTTTTGTTATAATTTTAATAAAATTATATTTAGATAGCGATCTGTAGACCCATGCCACAATTACATCCATATTCAATTCGATTTTTTTAAAAGATCTGAACAATATCTACATTTGATCGTGGCCGTTTAAATCTTAATCTGATTTTTAGTCTTTAATCTTGATCGTCGGTCATACGCAATTAATACAAAAATTATTATATGGAAGATTCAAAAGAGATAAAGACAAAAGGTGAGAAGATTCAAAGAACAAGATTAAACAAGCAAATTACAGTGAATAGAACTTTGATGTCTATATGTACTTTATATGTCTCGAATTATTTGTCTTTTAAATAAAAGTATCATTAAAAAGAAAAATAACAAAATGATGTTTAATTTCACAGGACGGGGTTATATGGTAGGACGGGTTTGGATTGATATTAATACGGGATGGTATATATATGACGGGAAAGTTGTGTGTTTTATCATGTATTTGTTTAAATAATTTAAACATCTTAAACAATTTTTTAAATGATAAACAAACACGAAAGAGTAATATATTCTACAAAAAAAAGCATTCAAAATATGTAAAACAAAAACACTTGTAAATGAAAGCGCAAATGCAAAATTTAACTTTTAAAACAATCCAAACCCAAATCATAACGGTTACTTTTTTTATTTATTTTGTGAGTCATTAGGAATGCCAAAAGGAAATGCTAAACGTTATGATCCTTATTGTCGGAAGATACCCAGCGTATTAGCGGCACCTGGGAACTGCTTTAAAAAAAATGGTAACGCATTATGTAAAGAGTCTTGCGTCAATGAAAATTTTCTGCATGGCGCATGTCTACATCTACCAAAGCCACAGTCAAAACTCAAATGCCACTGCTGGCTTAAGGATGCTAAATTTTTTCCTTAAGCCTAATCCTTCCAAACCTCGCGTCAATATATTGATACTAAGGGGAATCTCATCAACTTGCATGCTTCTTAATATCGATAACTGTATTTTTTGTTTTGTTTTTTATAATGCATTGAATATTTAATGAAGTAATCCTTGGTATGGTTTATTTGTCACTGAAAAGATTGACTATATCTTAATAACAAACTAGATCATAACCCGTGCTATTTTTTTTTTGGTAGGGAACCTGTGCTATAGCACGGATGTGAAATTTCTTTTATAAAATTAAAATATAAATTTTGTATTAAAAAGTAAATAATAGAATAAATTCAAATTTATAAAATTTATGTCATAGCATAATTAATTTTATTTGTAAATAGTATTAAATGTTGTATTATATTTACTTAGTTGGGAAAAATGTTTTCATAATATAAGAGGAGATAATATTGTAGTATATTTAAAAATGTTGAGAGTCTAAATAAAATTGTAGGGTTTGTTTGTATGTTTAAATAATTTACTTAGAAAATTTAATAATTAACTTATGCAACATTTGTTTTTTTTTATTGTATTATTAGTTTGTGAGAGTTTATTTTTTGGGCCAATTTGGGTTCAATTTTAAAAATAGGCCCAATCTTTAATTAAGTTGCTTTGGTTTGATTTTTAATAATAGCATAAATAATTTAAAGGAAACAAAAAATAATGTCTAAAAAAAAACAATATGTCGACGATGTCTAAAAAAACCATAATCAAGAATCTGCTTCTGCTTCGATTTCGATTGCTGGCAATGGAGGAGAAATCGGAATTATTGTAATAAACATCACCCGACGATTTCTCTGTCAATTCTTCTTACTTCAGCTGAAAGAATGATAAATCATGCAATTTCATTAGTCTCAAACAATTTCGGAATTGAAGAATGCATTCAATTAGTTCATCGATTGTGTTCCGAAGCAGTGGAATTGGAAATTCGACTTAAAGGTACACCAAATTCTCAAATTTAATCGGTTATCTTATAAAAATCGATGAATTTAGTTCTTCAATTGATTAGTGATTGAATCTTTATGTTGTAAGAAATTCAACAAATTATACAGATAATTTTGAAATCGTCGAATGAAATAATGAATGGCTCTGCCAAATCTTTGTTTGATCTAATCTTATGAATGTATATTTGCATTGTTTCAGATATAGATTATAAACTATATGATTTGCAATCTTAAACTTTTATCAGATTTCGAAACTGATATCAAATTAGGATTAAGCTTTATAAAGTACATCTCTAATCTGAATATAAAATGATCTGCAGGTTTTTGGTACAGACATGTATATGGAGTAAGAGTAAATCAATCTAATGAAGACAATCTAACCAAGAATTATCAGACGTCATGCAATTACCTCTGTTGAAACATGACTATAAAGGTTAGTACCTGATACATAACTCATTAAGCTTTTCAAAACATAACTCATTAACCTTTTCAAAACATGTTGATTTGATGCATTTGATTAATAATGAAATAAATGTTCAATGAATTTAAAAATTAAGCAGATTTATAGAAAAGTTTATATAACATAAGAGCAACCCCAACCGTAAAGAAACCCAATTAGATTTTTTAGTAATAAAGTAATAGTATTTTAGATATAATTTAGTTTTATATTTAAATTTTAATTTTAAATAAAAACTGGACCACTAAATGAATAACATGGGTAGAGATAACTTTTTATACGTACCTTATTTTAGAAACGTTGCTATGTCTCTCTCTTCTTCTTTCATTTTTCTTATTTGTTTAATAGTTTAGGTACTCTTAAGAAACCACCATTGTGGATGGTCTAAGAGTTTCTATCGAACTATAAAGAATTAAACAAATTTGCAATGAGCTTGTTTACAACTCTTATTCATGAAACTATTAATGAGTTTTCTTATGTGTTATCGTTTAAGCACTGCTATGATGTTCAAAACCTGCATATGATAGAAATAATAAAATTTAATTCCTAAATGCATAATTAGTTAGTTGTAAACTGCACAAAATCATTAGAATATCTAAAATACAAAAAGAAATTATAATTAGTGGTGAAAGTTACCTGAATGAAAAGCTATCAAATCTTCTATTTTCAATACTGGCCTACTATAGTACAGGTCGAGTTTAGAGTATTGTCTTTAAGTTAATAAATGAAATTCAATCCGTACTGTAGTACCAAATTCAATTAGATTTTGTAATAAATGAAATTCAATCTGTACTGTAGTACCTAATTCAATTAGAGATTTGTTTGAGCTAATTACGGAATTTACCAATTATTCACATAATCAAATATGTTATGAACATATATTTGGTATATAATAATACCAAATTCAATCCGTGTGTGGAGTCTATATTTTCATTTTACAATCTCTATGAAAATATTGCGGCACAATATATTATTTATTATTTTCAAAATTGCTTGCAGAATCAAATTTTTAAATATTTAGAAGTGTCAAACCTTATTTAACTCATCTCATCATAAATCTTAAAATGCTGTCTGTTATAAGGATAATAACTTTCTACCATATAATACATTACATTTAACCTGCCGCCTACTATAAATATTTTAAACATATTTTTTTAGAAAATCAAATTAATGTATTTATAATTTTTTTTATCTTTTTAATCTATTAAATATTTATGGTATTCTTTAATATTTTAAATTAAACTTTTTTAAATATTCCAAATTAAAATCTTTAAAAATTTTTACTGTAGTATGTAAAATTATGAATTAAAAAAAAAAAGTGATATGAAATTAAATATAAATATTCAAATAGTTATAAGGATCATAACTCATTTCAGCATATAATATATTATATTCAACCCGCCGCCTGTTATAAATATTTGTTTCAAAAAATCAAATTAGAGTATGTATACTTCATAAATTTTTGATCTATTAAGTATTGATGATATTAAAAAAAAAAGAATATATTGCTCAATTATGAATTTTTGACCCGTTAAATTTGTTCTTTCATACATTGAATAATTTATATTCGTTTTTAAAAATTCAAATCTTGGTATATGCGGAAAAAAATTTATTTATTTTTATTATATAGATGATATACTGATTTATTTATTTAAAGAAATAGAATCATATAAAATGAGATGTGGAGTATAATGATTAATAACAAATTAATATGGTAAGTTAGATATCAAATCTTATATGTTCATTTGTTGGTCATTCTTTTTAAAGAAATTAATAATAGATTTTCGTTTTTATAATTAAATTAAATTAATTAAATTGTATAAAATAGTATTTGACTTTTTTATCCTTAATGAGTTGAATTAATTTACTCTATAAAATTTTATTACTAATGGCATTCTTAAGTAATTTTTTACAAAATGAAAGGTTAGTTAAGGGTATCTTATAAAGTGTACTCCCCAAATAATAGTATAGGATTTTGTTCTAAAGATCTAATTCTGAAAATAAAATTATTTAGAAAATAACTATTTTCGCTTATGTTTTCATATGAATTCTTTCAAATGCAATCATTGAATAACTTTTTCTGGATTTCGTGCAAAAAAACTCTCAAAGTCGCCATTTTTTGCAACTTTATCCTCTAACTCTAAATAATGCAAGTCAACATTGCAAACTCAAAAGTAACCGGCTAAATAGATTTCCTGTATATTGCTTTGTTATGAATTGTGTATTTTTTAACATAATTTAAAATGTCGTTTTGGAATAATATTGTAAACATACCTTCTTTTTTTTAGTGTAATAGAAATTGTTAAAAATGTCCATTTTTCAATACCTCTTTTCAAAAATGCCCCCTTTGAGAGTCCATTTTTAAGTTTGTCCTCTTTTAATTTTTAATGACCATTTTACCCTTATTTGAAACAAAATTAGGTCCACAAAATACAAAATATTTTTTTGGCGGGAAAAGTGATCCCGCAAATTTTTGGCGGGAAACGTGATCCCGCAATTTTCCTGCCAAAATTTTTTTTTTCAGGAAAAGTGATTCCGCAATTTTTTGGGCGAAATTTTTTTGGCGGGAAAATTTTTGGCGGGAAAAATTTACAAGGTATTTTAAAGGTTTTACAGAGTATTTACAAGTGTTTTGTAAGGTTTTACAATGTATTTTAAAAGGTTTTACAACGTATTTATAAGGTATTTATAAGATATTATAAGATTTTACAATCTATTTTATAAGGTTTTACAAGTTATAAGGTTTTTAAATACTTTGTAAAATTTTCCTATAAAAAATTTTCCCGCCAAAAATTTAACGCCAAAAAATTGCGGAATAACTTTTCCCGCAACAAATTTTTTTTGGCGGGAAAATTTTTTGGCTGGAAAAATTTTTACGGGAAAATTCTACAAAGTATTTTAAAGGTTTTACAAGTTTTTACAAAATCAAATTTGTAATTTTGATGTGTGCATATTCTCATGTTTTTCTTATATATTTGTGATATCTTTTATTAAAAGAAGGGTAATTTAGTCATTTTGTACAAAAAATGGTATTTTAAAAATGGACAGCCAAAGGGGGCATTTTTAAAAAAGAGTATTGAAAAAAGAGCATTTTTGTGAGTCTCCCTTTAAACAAATACGAAAACAGATACTTTTCTATTGTTTTGGTTTTGTGTTACAATAACACCCCAACTTCCCTCAATTTTTTGTCAAAATTTTGTGTGACCTAAAATCTACTTTCCATATCAATTAGAACCCCACTGAACAATACAAACAATATCTACTCGAGCCTCAACACGGTCACAAAATGAAAAATTAGTAACCCCAAAAAAAAAGGGAAACTGAGTTTTGTATATTGACTCACTCACAACAAACAGGACATCTGATCAATCCATTCTCATTACAATATGGACATCTTTGAAATCCATAGTCCGTAACTTCTTCTTCTTCTTCTTCTTCTTCTTCGCCTTCATGGTAAATTTTGCAGCTGCCTGAACATGTCTCACACGGCACAAACCGAACATCTCCACAAGCCTCACATTCGTTACCAAAACCCGTTAAGCCATCTTCAACCATTTCGCAGTCTTTTATCAGCTTTTCAAGTGTCCCATTTTCATTCAACTTCTTAATCTCCTCCACTCCGCCAAGATACTTGTTCCCCAAGAAAACTCTAGGCAGTGTTATTCCAACGCCATTGTTAAATTTATCCTCCAATAGCTTCTTCAGCTCATCTTTGAAACCCGAATGCAATGAAACATCGCGCTCATCGATCCGAATTCCTAAGCTTTTCAGTATTATCCGGATATTGCAGCAGTCTTCATATGTTTTCCTTATACCTCTAAGGCTTGTGAAGTAAAGTCTCACTTTTTCTTTACCTAAACTCTTTCTTTTGCAGTTCCCTTTTTCTTGAAGCGATTTCGTGAAAGTTGAAACTATCTCAGGTGGCTCCAAATCATCAACTCTGCTATTGGACTTCACATTCTCATGAAACCTTGATTTAGCACGATCAAACGAAACATCAACATCAACATCATCATCATGATTAGGTTGGATACGAACAACATCAAACGAGAAGCTTCTCAAGTGATTCGGTGATCGTAAAGGACTAACATCTTCAAGACCTTCCATCAATTCCCACGTATTGATCGTCTCTGGCTCTCCAGGAGGTGTCACTATTGGAGTTTTAGGCACAATCTTAGGGATTTTCTCGTTTATCATACTTGACCAAACCCTAGCTTCAATAACCTTAGCTTGCAAATCCAAATTCATCTTCTCTCTGAACTCTCTGACCTTAATTATATCATTCTCTTCATCGCCGTGAAGAAACCCATTACCGGAGATTAGCTTCTCCTCACCCATTTGATCGGAAACCCGTTGCTTGTAAATAGAGTCTTCCAAGTGTTTGTGAAAATGCCTGAGAGAAGAATCACAAAGACTAAGAGATCCAATTGTGGAGGAAGTGAGAGCCACAGTGTGATAACTATCGCCGGTGTGTTGTGCTGGATGATGAACGTGCATTGAATAGCTTCGTGGCACAATCACCGGCGATAATCCTCCTTTGCAATTACGGCAACGATTCCGATTCTTCGAGCTCGCACAACCCATTTTAATCAACCAAGTCGAAAACAGAGCAACAAAAAAAAAAAAAGTTCTGATTTTGGGACAGAGATTGAGTCAAGGATTAGATTTCAGACAAAAGGGTTTGCTAAATTCGATGAGATGTCATAAAATTTAGCCAGATTTGTAAGAATAATAGCTGGAAATTACGAAGATCTTGAAAACAACGATAGAGAAAGCAGACAGATCGTAAAAGAAGAAGAAGAAAAACAGAGAAGATTCTGCAAAACAGAGAAGATTCTATTTGGACCAATTCTGCAAAACAGAGAAGATTGGTTGATCAAATGTCAGATTAGGAAATCGATGAACGAAGAAAGAAACTAGAGAGGAATCTTTATGATGATGATGATGATCATCATCTTCTTCGTTGTCAGGTCCTACTTTCTTTCTAAAAAGTTGTAGAGGGAGAGAAATGGAAAATGTGTGCATTAAAAAGAGAATTTAATTTTAAATTTTGTGAGATTTTTTTTTTTAAAATATAATTTTGACTTCTGCTTGACGATGTCCTTTACTAGGAGCGTGATCTACGCTCCTCAAAAGATCTTTTTTTTTTTTTTGGTGAGCCACGGAGAGACAATGTCTCCCCGCTAATTTATTCAGAACAAAAATAAAAAAATTACAAACGGACCGATCTCGGAAATGAAGTTCCTCGACTATCCTCCAACAAAATAGTCTCCACAACACTCGGAGCTAACTCAAACATATGAAAGCCAAACGGCAAAGTAAAAGCATAGTTTGCTAACCCGTCAGCAAGACGGTTAGCCTCCCTATAAACATGCGAAATCCGGACTATCCAGTCCCTTGTAAGAAAGCCATGGCACAAACGTACCAGGAACGACAGGGGGTGCGAATCACTAATCCCTGATTTTAAAAAACCCACCACCAACTCCGAGTCTACTTCCAACTCTAGTCTCGTGATCCTCCTCTCCCACGCGATATATAGCCCATAGTACACTCCCCAAAGCTCCGCTAGCGGAGCAGAGCAAATACCAATATTAAGCGCAAAACCGCCACGCCAACGCCCCATACCATCCCGTAAAACTCCTCCCGCCGCGGCCAAGCCTGGATTTCCACGAGAAGCGCCGTCTGAATTTAGCTTCACCCATTCGCCCAGCGGCGGCTGCCAAGCTATTCTTCTCTCAACTCTACCCCCAACATTCTTCTCAACCCTATGAATCTCATTGGCCTGATACACTTCCTTGGCCCAATCTTTCACAAATTTCACTCTATCTCTACACTTTCCGGTCTCGCCAAACACATAGCCACATCTCCACTTCCATCCCCACCAAACTCCAACCGCAAATGTCGTAGATCACTCACAGTCACCCGTTCCTTCCCCCACCCGCAGGTTTCCGTGTAACCAAGTGAGGAGAGGAGCGTTGAAAAACTCTTGTTTCCTCCGTTCTGGACAAGGCGGCTCCATATTCCCGAAATAGACGGGCAGTCTCTCAAGACATGAATAATCGTCTCTTCACCACCTTTGCATACTCGACAAATATTGGTATCCCCGATATGCCGCCTAAATCTTTCAACATTAGTCATGATAGCTTGGTGACTAACTAGCCACAAAAAAGTCTTCACCCTCTCCGGTACTTTAATTTTCCATATCCTGTTATAAAAGCTAGTCATATCCGGTTTGGGAGACTCATCTCTCGTGATCATGGTATACGCCGATTTGACCGTGAACTGTCCATCTGCAGCTTCTCCCCAAGCAATACGATCCCTGGATCCTGTCACGTTATCAACAACTATCGCGGCCAGTTCCAATCTTGTCCTTGGCGTGACATAAGGCACAATCACATTCAAACACCAGCCCGTCCCTTCCTGCCACAAGTCCTTCACCCGCCACTGTAAAACTTCATTAGGTAACTCCGTAATAACTCTCTCCACCAACGGTGCATCCAACAGCCACTTGTCGGTCCAAAATCGTATATCCCGACCATTGCCAAGCACCCACCTACTTCCTTTCAACCCCACTTCCCGTAGACCTGCTGCGATGCTTCTCCAGGTCGACGACCCAGGTCTCTTAGCTGCCAGCCAGCCTTGATCTTGTACGCTCCCAACCTTGTATTTTTTTCTCAAGACATGGGCCCAAAGGCTTTCTGTTTCATTCATGAGTCTCCAACCCACTTTTGAAACTAAGGCCATATTCATATCTTTAGCCTTTCTTAAACCCAAACCTCCTTCTCCTCGTGGTTTACAAACCCGATCCCACGCTATGAGATGTTGTTTCTTTTTTTCCGTGGTACTTCCCCACAAGAAAGCCCGCGCCACCTTATCCAATCCCTCCGTTGTTGATTTTGGTAACACTATCGTACTCATGACATGTACCGGTATAGCTGAGATCACTGATTTTGTCAATGTTAGCCTCCCCGCAAAACTCAAGGCTCGCCCCTTCCAACCGGCCAGCTTCGATGTAACTCTTTCAAGTACTTCACCAAACGTGTCCTTGTTTATCCTCTTCTGTAAAATAGGCATCCCTAAGTATTTTCCCAACTCCTTAGTAGCCTTAATTCCACTTTCATTGCTTATCAAGTCACCCAACTCCCTTGATACATTTTCAGAGAAAAAAATTTTGGACTTCTCCAAACTCACCTTCTGGCCTGAAGCTACACAAAAACTCTCCAACACCTTACGGATCACCCGAATCTGAGAGACTGATGCTTCCGCGAACAAGATCAAGTCATCGGCAAAGCAAATATGTGAGAGTCGTGGTCCACCCTGCGATAAACATATGGGCTTCCAATCCTTAACTGTAATCGAACGATCAATCATATGACACAACCGCTCCAAACACAACACAAACAAGTATGGGGATAGTGGGTCTCCCTGTCGCAGCCCCCGAGATGGTTTAAAAGCATCCGTTTTCTCCCCATTCCAGAGAATTGACATAGACGGTCCCGTAACACACTGAATAATCCACTGTACCCAGCACTCTTCAAACCCTGCTGCCCGTATAGTGTCCTCCAGGAAATCCCACCGGATTCTATCGTATGCTTTCTCCAAATCTAGTTTTAATAACATCCAACCTTTTCGACCTTTTTTCCTTCTCATCGAGTGTATTGCCTCCTGTACCACTACAATATTGTCGATACTCAGCCTCCCTGGTATAAAGCTTGACTGCGCCGGTCCTATTAGTTTTGAAATCACCCGTTTAAGGCGTAAAACCATCGTCTTTGTAATCGTCTTAAATAAGACATTACACAAACTAATAGGACGAAACTGCTGGATCTTCTCCGGCTTAGCGACCTTTGCTATCAACACCACTAGGGCATCATTAGTGTCCGGTGGAAGAACACCCGCCGCGAAAAAATCAAGCACAAATCTTATCACAGATCTTCCAACCGTCTCCCAACATTTTTGATAAAAAATTAGCTGAAACCCGTCAGGCCCTGGTGCTTTAAAGCTTCCCATACTCCGTATTGCTGCTTCTATCTCCGCAGCTGTAAAAGGTTTATTTAGACTCAGCTTCTCCTCCCGTGTAAGCGGAGCAAACCCTTCTGGTGGTAGTCTCTCAACCTCCCTAGGTACGTCATCTAATGAATATAATCGTTGGTAATAGTCCACAGCCAGCTTTTCCAACTCTTGTGGGTCCGAGCATTATTCCGTAGCATCTCAATCCGATTTCTCCTACGCCGAATGATGGTAGATGTGTGAAAATACGTTGTGTTCCGGTCACTGTTGGTGTCGGATCCCGCACCAGAAGTACGAGACCAACCAAAGATTGCCACGTAATCAGGATAATGGCCCATAAAGGATGAAGCCCATTGGACCCGTGAGCCGAAGGGATGGTCGAAGTGGTTGTCACCATTTCGAGAATCCGAAGTGACTGCACTGTGACACGAGTTCGGTGTAGAAGACACGGGTAAGTCGGTTCAAGGACACTTGGGCCAAAAGAGGCGAGGCCCATGAAGATCAGAGTCAACTCAAATTCAAACGTTGAGCATTAAAGCCGAAGAATCAAAACGGACACATTTAAGAAGAAATAATTGTACTTAATTACTCATTTTAAATGTCGTTTAGCTATGTATAAATATAGAAGTCAATGGCCATGTAAAGGGGATCTTCCTCTCAAGAGAGAAATACTATAGCAATTTTCGTATCAATTTACAAGTTCTTACGTATTCATTTTTGTCCCTCAAGAATAATCTTTCCCACTTAACAAAATACTTGAGTGTGTGAATCCGACATCCACATTTTGGCGCCGTCTGTGGGGACATCAGGATTCTTGAGTGGTCAGATTTCTTCTTTTCTACATTTCTGAGATAAGCGACAATGTCCGGAGGAGACGCCGTTGAGACATCATTGGCCGAAACCCTCAAAGCTATGCAGCAAACCATGTCGGACATATCTTTTTTACAAAAGTTCTCGGATGTGGAGAAGGCCGTCGATACGTTGCAAACATCCCAGGTATCTCTTAGTCAAAACGTCAATAATATACAAACTCGTGTTCGCTCTTTAAGTGCAGGAAACCCGGTGGGAACCCGAAGAGGGATATTCAACTCGCCAAGTTCCGCTGCACGAAATGAAACCAGCGGACAAACAACTCCCGGTGCTACTAATAATGTAGCTCAGACGTCGGAAGAAGAGACGCAGCTCGGGGATGAAGAACAACTTGCAGCTCAGTACGAGCAGGAGAACCTCGACCAGTTCGAGACCATGAGGAAGGTTAGCCAGGAATTAAAAGAAATGAAATCAAAATTTCATCAGGCTACAAGTTCGGAGCCAGACATCAATCGAGTCATTGAAGAAGCTAGGCGAACCCCTTTTATCCCGCGAATTGCAAGTTTGAGGATCAAAGATTCCCGGAAGCTCAAGTTGGACCCTTACAGCGGATTGGAGGATCCAAAAAGCTATCTTGCAGCCTTTCTGATCGCTGCAAGAAGAGTCGAATTGGATGAAGCTGATGAGGACGCAGGCTATTGCAAGCTGTTTTCGGAGAATCTATGTGGCAAAGCTCTAATGTGGTTCACCCAATTAGAGCCGGGTTCGATCAGCAATTTCGACGAACTATCAGCCGTGTTCTTAAAGCAATACTCTATCCTTATGGATAAAAGCGTTTCGGATGCCGATCTTTGGAACTTAACGCAAGGATCTAATGAGTCACTTCGAGTTTTCATCACCAAATTCAAAGGAGTGCTATCAAAACTCCCAAGAATCTCACAGCAATCAGCTTTATCTGCCCTACGAAAAGGATTGCGACATGATTCAAGGTTTAAAGAAGACTTAATACTTCATAAACCAGACACAATTCAGGATGCACTCTTCCGCGCAAACAATTGGATGGAGGTAGAAGACGAAAAAGAAAGTTTTGCCAAACGGAATAAACAAGAAAAGCCGGCAATCACCGTCCCTACCAAGAAGTTCGAGCCTAGAGAGAGCAAAGGACCAAGGAAGTTTGGGTCGCAACCCTTCAACAATTCCGTCGGGAAGCAAT